AACTGCCGAGGGAGTTGTGGAGGTCTGCCTCTTGCCAGCGTCATCCACATCTGAGTCACTGAATGAATCCACATCAACCGCTTTGCTGTTTCTAAAATCTTGGTCATTATTAAGTGATCTGGCCGCAGACTCCTGTTTAGACACGTCAGGTTCCGTATCCGAAGTGGAAGCAGAAGAAACGACGTCAGAAAATGGGTTTTCCTCGTCACTCGCTTCAATAGTCCAAGTTTCTCCATTCCAACTGACTCTTTGAGATGCGGTCCTTGCTTCCTCAGGTAACTCTGTATTTGAAGGTGCCTCAAGCTTGATTGCTGTAGATGGAGCTAGAGTTGAAGAATCGATAAAGGAGGTAGGAGCCGTCGGCAGTTGAAGAAATAGGTCAGACTGTGTTAATGCCGGATCAAAAGCCTCGATAGGTCTTTGAGGCGATATCGTTTCTTGTTTGATGGGTGAACCTCCATTGTTGTTGGTTTCGTCTATGACTAATTGAGAACTGAAAGTTGGACCACGAACAGATGACGTTGGAGAGGGATATTTTTGGTCATCATCAGAGTTCTCGGGTTTGTCTGAGGATTCGTCTTCTGGCATGCGATCGATGGAAATCTGAAGGCTTGGAATACACGAGGAAATTAAAATGGATTCATCCTTAAAACGCTCGGTTGGAAAATATGCAAAAAGGTAGACAGATAAAACACAATTTTAGGAAACGGACAATACTTTTTCTTTTGAAAGACAAATCAATAAAGTGAGGATCCATGTGCGAGGACTGTAAGTCCAAACTTTGGACTGAGTAAAACACCTATCATCGAAAATACCAAACCCTTTCATGAAGAACTATTGAACGAAATGCGACTTTGACAGTAACATAAACCACGGAAGGCCGCTTCCAGACTCTCAAAACCAGGAAATGAACCCATACCGACAATGATTCTCATCGATTCCAAATAGGTCCAAATAGGGGAAAAAGAACACTGAGTGATATCTAGCAAACGCAGGTGCATCGCCGTTCCCACATTAACTAGGTAAATTTTGAAAATGATGACGCCATTTCTTAAATTAACATTGCACACAACTAACGACGCGGCTAAGAATCAGTACTGCGTCAAGTTATGGCCGACCACAGCACGAAGGAAAGCTATGATGAGACGACTCCCAACCACCATAAGAGGATCACAGAAATAAACTCTGGATGCATACGCGAAGGCCTTTTAAGTGCGAAACAATGCTGTCGTCTGTAAAGCAGGACCGCTGCAATCAGAGGCTCAAAAGCCTGTCGACGCCCACTTCATTGGCCTGTCGAAAGTTAATGAGAGCACTCTACGACCTATAAGATACTTGGGCAAAGTTTAAACGAAAGCCATAACTGTGGCATTTGGAGACTGTTGAAGAGTGTAATAACGTTAAAAATACACATCACAAGACTGATCTTATACGTCATGGACGTAGAACACCGGAAGCAAACAAGCGAACCAAAACGCCAATTTAAAATATATGGGGTAAATACTACCCTTGGACCTAGATATCTGGCAAAAGCAAGAAAGAAAACTGAGTTCTTTTTCAAAACAACATGCTCTCGTAGACTTGGAAATGGGAGAATCATGGTGAGTTGTAAAAAAGACAGCCGTTTAACAGGCCACCTTCCCAAACATGCGGAATGGTAGAACCCCGTTATCCCAAAGAAGTCGTATTAACGGTACAGCGGATGGCGTCAAAAGAGAAACTCATTGAGGAAAACGAATTTATTAAAAAAACAGCGGTTCGGTTACACTTTTGATGGGGCAATCTCGGGAAGAACAAATGTCCGTCCTTGTTTCTCGAATTCTGCCCTTAAATATAAATAAAAGATGTTTTGGAAAAGCAATACCTCAAAACAGATGAAAATTCTTCCTCAACAATGTCGTCATCCCAGTTGTCCTCCCAAAGTGAAACTTCTTCTGTGTCTTCGGCTTTACCAGCCCACTCTAGCAGTGTGAAACAAGATTGAAGCAGACAAACCATCGACTGGGAACTCTTCAAAATCGTCATCTTCTTCTAGGATGCCTAAATCCAATTGTGCTTTGGGTTTGTTGGATTCTTTATCTGCAGCAGAAACAGTCGCCATTCCCGCGGACAAGCAAATTCGAAGACCGTGTTATACGTAGTCAAAATACGGAACCGCGAAAGTCCCGTTGGTTAGGTAGTAACAGCGCCAAAAGTTGAATTTGAGGTCCGTGACTAAGCGCGACAAGCCTTAGAGTCAAATTACTGAAGCAGTTTTCTGATGTTCTTCAGATTAAATCGTCGCTAGGAAAGCAGAATTATAAAAGAAGTCAAGATAGGCGAACGAACGTTTTCGATTAATTCATCATCAGGCG